GAAGTCAGCTTCGAAGTCTTCCCACGTGTAGAATTAGATAGCTCAATAATTTCATCTTTCTCGTTCTGTCTTGTTCTTTTTTACTTTTGTAAATTTTGTTTCAATGCATTTAGATATTTCCTTCTCAATTCAAAGAACCCATCCATATCGCGCTATCACTGCATTGATCATGATTTAGGTTTTTTTTAAGGATTTTTTTTCCCATCAGAATGTCACCATGTACTCATCTGGTTTTATTTATAGAGCAAAGAGAAGACATTTTTTATTTCTATTTATAGAGCACTGATAGAAATTTTTTATATAGATATATAATTTTACTCTTTATTTATTATTGTGCTAACTTTGTTTACGTGAGGTATAATATATATTAAATATATTAAATGGGTATAAAGTTGAAAAGTTGTTGAATTTGAAATAAGAATTGATGAAGTTTAAGATTTTTTTTAGTCTGCGTAAAATATGTTATAAGTAACTAATAAATAGGACTAGAGGAATATGTTGGTGAACCTTATTATGTAATTGGCTAATTGCTTTCCCTTTAATTTAATATATTATCTTTTTATCAAACCAAAAAAAAAAGGTAAGGAGAATACGCAAGAGAGAGGAGGAAAGAAAATAAATATAGCACTATCGAACGGAAAATTCCTGAAAAATGCCAGTTTAAAAAATATATTTCTGAGATGTGCCTAATTTAGAGTACTAGTATTATGGGCATATATCAGATTTTCCGGATGTCCTTAGTTTAGCTACAAGAGGGTGTGATACCAACCATCCTTAGAGTGATATTGTTAACAATGACATTAGGATTTTGATTCTTAGGGAGTGGCAGATCCAGATCAACCATGCATGTGTTTAGAGATCTGGCCTTAGCTGATCATTTTGCTAAGATTTCCCACAATATATATGGTGGATACTTTTTCCATCTTTGATCAACCTCCTTCTTTTTTCAAGGGAGAAGGTGGATGATGATTGAGATCTTTTGTTTTGAGGCTGTTTTGATTTGATAGCATTCAGTTACATTCAATTATTATGTGTGTATAAACTTTTTACAGTACTGATGCTTTTCTGTATCAGGTACTTTAGGGCAATAAAATTTTCAAACATGTATTTTTCAGCAGTTTTTCCTGATTTAAATGTATTATTACCTTTCTTTTTTTGCCTTTTCTTTCCCGAAAGATAGTTGAAGCTATGAATGGAAGCATAAAAAGTACACTAGAACGCACGAACTGTAGACCCAAAACAAGTCCTGCGAAAATGAACATTTTCAGGATGAAATTTATAGTTTTAAACTATTAAAATTATCAATAATATTTAATGAGTACCACAAGGAGAGTGAGCAACAAAAGATTAAATTTAATGGAAGAATTATGGAAATGGTAATATCATAAACATAGTCAAAAGTATTTTAGCAATTTCCTTTTTTTTAAATTTATTGTGAACCACGTAATGGAGGAAAAAGAAGAAGAACAAACAAAAATCAAAGCGAAAAGAAGTATCAATTTCTTTTAAAAAAATAAAATTATACGTATTTTAAGATATTCAATGTGAATGGTTTAAAAACTAACAAATAATAATCTGAACTGAAAAAATAACTAAATAGAAGTTTTGACCTAAATATTATAACAGATAAAGCATATGAAAGACTAAACATGGAAGGAAATGCAAATAAGAATACCAATATTCAAACAAGAGGGAAAGATACAGAGTAAGAATTATAAATTTTTTACTTGTTTTTTTTTTTTTAAAGACACTTCAATGTTCTTCGCCGGAGACTCTCCTTTTCGGCTTCTGTATTTTGGTTATGAAATTGAAATGAGAGGAACTCAGAAAAAAGAGCACTAAAGTTGCGAAGAAGAAGAAGCAGAATGCAAAAGTTCGAGCAATGGAAGGTGAACTGATAGAGTGACTTTTTACAAAGAGATTAAACTATTTTTTTCCTTCTTTTTTTTTTTCAAATGAAGTCCACTTCAAAGTCCTCCTATATGTGTCATCACGCAAGTAAGATGCCCCAACAATTACTTCTCTAATTCTATTTATAAAATATTTCTAATATGTTTATATCTTATCCTTATGCTTATTATTCTTATAAATGATTATGTTCAAAGATGTGATTAAATCAACTTCTTAATGTTGCTCATGATTAAATTCTCAATTCAGAACAAAAAGAATATGAATCCTACCCATCAAAAGAGTTGGTTTTATGTCATGGTACTGCATAGAGACTACATGTGGAGTTTGATGAGGATAGGAGAAAAATTAGTACGACAAGGTGCAAAGGATAGGATGATGGACGATATTTTAGTACTCCTCCAATTCTTAATTCTTAATATAAGATATAATTAACTAATTTAAGTAGATTAAGGATGTTAGTTAAATTAGTTAATGTGATGTTTCTTTTAAAACACCCTAAGCATCTTCCTCAATTCCTTCCATCCCTCTCTTATTTGATTATTGTTGGGGGAATATTAATAGAGTTAATTTTGAAAAAAATTAATAAATATGTGAAATAGGTCTTATAAATTAGCTTCTATATTAAAGACCAGAGGAATACATATCTTTCTATCTTTGTTTCTATCATCTTAGCTACCTAGGTACTTTTAACTTAATTAAAAGCATTTTATACTTAGCAGGTCATCAATGATGTCCCGTCCATTCCTGAGATGAAGAAACATTAGTTACAAAAACTAGATAATTGATCGAACTGGAAAGATATTCAAGTCAATGCTCAGCAGGCTATACATTCGAGGAGACTAGAAAAATAAGAATTAATCCAAGTTAAGAAAAAACGCTTTCCTTGATGAAGAGACTTGTAGACAGTTTGTGAGATTATCGGAAGATCCTGAATTTTAGGAATGTTTGTTTAATCACTCACTTAGTTCATTTTGATTTAATTTACTTCACTGATTTAGTTCATTTTGTTCTATTTAATTTACGGAAAGAAGACAAATAGAAAACTAATACTCTGGATAAAGAAAATCTGATTATATTATTTTTACCTTGTCTTTTTTTTTTTTCCCCTTTTTGAGACAGAATTCAGAAAAATGTAGAGCACACAAACAGCCAACCAGCAACAGATCAAACAAGCCCTGTGACTGTGAATTTGAAATTAAAAACAAATTGTTGTTAGTTTCTACAACTCCATTATATACAGCAGAAATAACTAGAGCCAACGTAAAAGAGTAAGCAAAATATGTAGAAATAGACAACGATTTTAACACTATATCAGAATGTATTTATACTTTTTTTATTTTGTAAATTTTCGTTTAAGAACGTATAATTAAAAAAATAAAAAATAAAATTCGAAGAAGCTCAAGTAGAATTTATTAGACTTTTACAATGAAATAACGAGAGCGAATGTAAAAGAGTAAACAAAATATGTAGAAAGAGACAATGATTATAATAAGTATGAGATTAAAGTGATCAATAATCAGTTCATTGACATAATATCCTTCAGGATCACAATTATGCATTTCGGAACATTAAAAGACTGAACGATTAAAATTAAAATTATACACACTAATAGCTTTTATATTTTGGACCGAAGGTAGTAATATAGATTTATCAAATATTCTGAGATTTCAATCCGAACAAATATAATACTGATTGGAACATCTATAGAACTGCATACCAATTTCAATAGCAAAAGAAGAAGAAAAAATCATTTTGATTATGCGAAATCATTGTTATTAAAAAAATGATCTAAGTAAGAAATTGAAGGGGAGAAAAATAAGAAGGGAGAAAAAGGGAGAAGACAATGGTGGCCAAACAACCAAAAAAAGAAGAAGCCATTCATACGAATGTTACAACAAGTCATAAAAGACTACAAAAGTCATAATCAAAATGCTAGAGAATTGATTATATGAATAGAATTGATATATGTAAGGGAAATACCGAAATAGTAATAAAAACATAAACACGATATAAAAATAATCAGTGCTGTTTCAAGTGAAACCAAGAGAAAATAAAAGAAATTATCAACTCAGAACAAAAGAATATATGAATCCTACCAACCAAAAGAGTTGGCCCCAGAGACTCAAAAATTGGTAGAAGAGATAGGGGATAGGTTGATCAGTTAAAACCTGATTAAGGACTGAAGGTAGTACTCATCTGAGTGTGTATTCTTTGTTAGATATTTTATTATAATTATTATTTAGATATATATTAGGAAATTAATAAAATACTCTGAGTGTGGCCCTTTCAATCAAACAAGGCCCAAGCCCAGTAGGGTTAAGCTTTTCAGTCCATATATGTGTTGATAACTCTCTGATGGTGAGACACACAACAATTGAGTTGACGGCTGAATATTCTGAGAGCGAGTGAAATACCTATCTGCTCCCTTGAGGTTCCCTGACTGGTGACGGCTAATCCAGTTGCCATCACTGTGCCCTATTCCAGTCAGAAGAGACCTGAACAATTCTTTTCTTCTAACTGTTGTTCTCTTTTGCAGTTCTATTCCCTTATCTTAGATCCCGAGATAATTAAAGATAAGACAAATGGCAAGAGGTACACAAAGATTCTTCCGCTGTATTATTTTATGAGAAGATTCACATCTCTTTATTGTTTTATTTATTTGTATTGTGAATCTGTCTTACACGTGGTATCAGAGCCTGGTTTTCTGATTCATCTTGCCTCACGCTTTTCTGATGCTCATTTGAATTTATTTAATTTTCTACTTTGAAAATTATTTTAATTGTTTTGAGAGCATCCCTTTTGATTTGATTAACTTGATTTTTGATCTGATATTTGTTTCATATTTACGGACTGAATGGGATGGAGGAAAATAATTTTAATTTCCCATGAACCATCACCATATTCGGATAAATCTGAAGGTCCGATCAAATTTTGTTTTATATTTGAGTTCCATTTTATTTTTATTGAATCTGTGATGATTTTGGGAGCTCCAATGAGGGACAAGAATGATCTTTCACGTTAACTATGAGAGATCACCGCCATAGTCGTCGATCGCGTGGCCAAAATCGGAGATGTGTTGTGTCATTTACCTTTCTGATTGTTTAAGTTTCTTTTTCGGGTTAATGGGATGGAAGGGAGGAGAAGATTTATCTCTCCGATGACCACCGCCGCCACCTCCGTTAGAATTGGGAGGAACCGAAAACGCTGCTTTTTTCATTCTTCCTTTTTATTTCCTTTTTGGCCCTTTTACCATTTAAATCTCGCTCATTGTTGCTTTCTGTGAGTTGCACCCTTGAGAAATGGCATCTTTTGGAGAGAAAACGGCGGTTTTCATGCCGGAAAATAGCCTAGAACCGCCGGAAACCATGGCTGGCGCCGGCGGCTGCAGAGGGCTGCGAAACAGGTCGGAAACGGGTCAGGAGTCGGGTTAACCTAACCCGACTCCATGTGGAAGAAGACCTGATTCCAAAACGTCGTCGTTTTGCATTTAGGAGGCTTCTTCTGTTATCATTTGAAACGGCGTCGTTTCAGTTAATATGAAACGAACCGTTTCACTTATACTGAATTTGGGCCGAATGGTCTTAGGCCGAGATCTGGGTTTCTATTAAAAAAAAAAAATTTTGTGTTTGGACCGAATGGGATTTCTGGTTTTTGTAATCATATGTTTTTTATTTTCGAACTGGGCCGAGGATTTTTTTTGTACAGAATTATTTTTTTCCCTCTCTGTTTGCTATCTGGGCTGCACTGTGCGTCTTGGGCTTGTTGTTTTTGCACAGAAATCGGTTTTTGGTCACTGTTTGGTTACTGGGCTTCTGTTTTGGGCCAGAACACCTAATTTGTTATTTTAGAATGTTCCTTTTGGGCCTATTTTGATTAAACTCTGTTTAGCCCATTTATTTTTAATTTCCAGAATAAGTTCATGTTAAATAAATAATTAATTGCAAGTTATTTATTTATTTGAAAAATAGTTTTCACATGTAATTGATTCTATGCAAATATTTGAATTGTTTAAATAAAGATAAAAGTTAATCTTAGCTATTTCACATCTTGTGTAAATTTGCAAAATTGTTTGTTTGCCTAAATGTTTGGATACTAAATTTTGGGCAATTTGGTTATTTACTAGAATTTTGCAATGTTTATTTTGGGATGAGATATGCTTTAAACAATTATTTGGCTGCATAAAAATAGTGGGAGAATTTAGTTCATTATTTACTTGTTAATTAAATTAATTGCTTAAATTCTCCATTGAGATGTGCATATACTGGACTTAAATGCACTTGTATGATATTTGTGATTAGCATGCTTCTTTAAGGAGTAGCCACAGCATCCTTTATCTATTGCATGCGATATAAATCACATAATGGACTTATAAAATATCAATTGTAATTAAATATGCATTCATAATTCATCTTTGCCCACAGGTAGATAATTATCAATGTATATTTAATTAGGGTGGGATAGAATTGCCTTGTATTTTCTAAGTAGCCCACAGGTATTAGGAAATATAAATGCGTTCTAGTTCCATCAATATGAGATAAATACATGCTATGCTAATTTCTTTGCCCACAGGGAGAACTTAGTGATACGTATTTATAATTGTATGCTTTATTAATGTTTTAAGCATACATGGCACAGTTATTGTGATTGCCTCTATTTATTTGGAAGTTTGACTGATTCTCTAATATTGCAGCTGCATTTACTGTCCCTAACATTGTTGCTGATGCTAGTAACAAAATTATACTTGATGGTACTAACTACCCTGATTGGAGGGAAGACATTGCTTTACATCTCGGTTGTCTGAACATGGACTATGTCCTGGAAACTGAAAGGCCTCCCAAACCAGCTGATGGCTCGACTGACAAAGAGGCCAAAGAGTATTATGAATCCTGGGAGAAAAACAATCGCCTTACTCTCCTGCTGATCAAAACAAGGATTGCTAGGAGCATTCGGGGAGCAATCCCTAAATGCGAAACTGCTAAAGAATACCTGGAAGCTGTGGACAAACAGTTCAAACCGACAGACAAGCAGATGGGGGGCACCATTATGTCGGAATTATGTGCCATGAGGCTTACAGGTATAGGCGGTACTAGGCAGCATATAATGAAGATGAGAGATTTATCCTCTCAGTTGAAATCCTTCGATATGGAGCCTACTGAGCAATTCCTGGTGCAGTTAATCCTGAACTCCCTTCCTCCTCAGTTTGATGCCTTTAAAGTATCTTACAACACACATAGGGAGAAATGGTCAGTTGATGAATTGCTGTCCATGTGTGTGCAAGAAGAAACTAGGCTGTTGATGAGTGGAAAGGGGCACCTAAGGAAGCTCATCTGGGAGAAAGCTCCAATAGGGGTGGTAGTAAGAAGGGAAATAAGGATGACAAGAAGAAAAGAAAGAGAAGAATTCCCCCTGCCACCGCCTTAAATAAGAAGGATGCCAAATGCTTCTTCTGCAAGAAGAAGGGGCACATGAAGAATGAGTGCTCCAAGAGGAAGGCATGGCTTGAACGTAAAGGTATGTTTACTTCTCATGTTACCTTAGAATCTCATGCTATTAATGTTGATGATGACACTTGGTGGATTGATACTGGTTCAATGATCCACATTTCCACAACCATGCAGGGCTTCTTAACAAGCAGGCCACCACATCCGAGTGAGGAATGGGTTCTATCAGGCAGCAGGAACCCAGACCGTGTGGAGTTGGTTGGGACTTATCGCATTTTTTTGAATAATACTCATGTAGACCTTTTTGAGACTTTTTATATTCCGACATACATGAGGAACTTAATTTCCATTTCAAAATTAATTCCGTTGGACTATGGTTTATGTCTTGAGAAGGGCTCTATGTTTTTGAGCAGACATCATGTTAAGATTGCAGACGTTGCAATGATTGATAATTTATTTAAAATTATTCGTGATCCTGTTCAATCTTTTAATATTTCGCGTGGTATTAAACGAAGTGTCATCAATGAGAATTCTATTAGCTTGTGGCATAGGAGATTGGGACATATCTCCATTGATAGAATCAAAAGGTTAACTAAGGAGGAAATACTTCCACCCTTAGACCATTCAGAATTTGATTCTTGCGTGGACTGCATAAGGGGAAAGCAGACCACTAAGTCACAAAAGGGAGCTAAAAGAAGTTCTGAATTGCTTGAGATTATACATACCGATATTTGCTGCCCTGATTTAACCGCACACGGTCAAAAGTATTTTATCACCTTTATCGATGATTACTCGCGCTACACGTATATCTATTTGCTTTATAATAAGAGCGAGGCACTAGATGCCTTTAAGGAATATAAAGCAGAGGTAGAAAAACAAATTGGGAAACCAATTAAGATTGTAAGATCTGATAGAGGTGGTGAATACTATGGTAGGTACACCAATGAAGGACAAGCACCTGGTCCTTTTGCAGAATTTCTTCGAGAGCAAGGTATAGTTGCTCAATATACCATGCCTGGCTCACCAGACATGAATGGTGTAGCTGAAAGAAGAAATAGGACCTTGCTGGACATGGTTAGGAGCATGATGAGTGGCTCCAAACTTCCAATTTCTCTATGGAAAGAAGCACTCAAGACAGCTGTATACATTCTAAACAGGGTTCCAACAAAGGCAGTGCCTAAAACACCCTTTGAAATCTGGAAAGGTTGGAAACCCAGTTTGAATCATTTAAGGGTATGGGGCTGTCCTGCAGAAGTAAGAGTGTACAACCCACAGGAAAAGAAATTGGACCCTAAGACTATTAGGGCCTACTTTGTAGGCTATGCAGAAAAGTCCAAGGGTTATAAGTTTTACTGTCCGCCTCCTTCAAAACGATTTGTGGAATCTAGGAATGCTAAGTTTCTTGAGAATGATGTGATTAGTGGGAGTGATCAGATAGGAATTGATCACATAGAAGAGACCACTAGCACAAATGGTGAGGGAACATCAATTGTCAATGACTCTTCTTTTAGAGCTATCATACAACATGATGTGGATCCCATAACTCAAGTTGATGATGCTAGACATCAGGAACATATGCAAGCTGACCAACCTGTCACAGAAGTGGAACCACCACAGAATGTGATAGAGGATGTTCCTGATGAGCAACCTCAGCCAACTCAAGAAGTTGAATTGAGGAGATCAACTAGAGAGAGAAAGCCGGCATTGCCTAGTGACTACGTTGTGTACTTCACTGAAATTGACTGTGATGTTAATATTGAAAATGATCCTTTGACCTTTACTCAAGCCATGAAGAATGAGAATTGCAAGTTGTGGCATGATGCCATGGTCGATGAAATGAACTCTATGGCAAACAACCATGTATGGGAGCTTGTAGAGTTACCTAGTGGGTCTAAAGCCATTGGCTGTAAGTGGGTTTACAAAACCAAAAGAGACTCACGAGGTAACATTGATCGTTACAAAGCAAGGTTGGTTGCCAAGGGTTTTACGCAAGTGGAAGGAATCGACTACAGAGAAACATTTTCTCCTGTATCAAAGAAGGATTCATTCCGCATTATCATGGCATTAGTTGCACATTTTGATATGGAATTGCATCAAATGGATGTTAAAACTGCATTTCTCAATGGTGATCTTGACGAAGAGGTCTATATGAAGCAGCCTGAGGGATTCATTGCGAAAGGCAAAGAAAACTTGGTATGCAAGCTAACGAAATCAATATATGGTTTAAAGCAAGCCTCACGACAGTGGTACTTGAAGTTCCATGAGGTGATCACATCATTTGGTTTCGATGAGAACATCATGGATGAATGCATATACCACAAGGTTAGTGGGAGCAATATCATATTTTTGATTTTATATGTCGATGACATATTACTTGCAACCAATGATCTAGGACTATTGCACGAGGTGAAACAGTTCCTGTTTAAGAACTTTGATATGAAAGATATGGGTGAGGCATCTTATGTCATTGGCATTAAGATCCATAGGGATAGGACTCAAGGTCTTTTAGGCCTGTCTCAAGAAACCTATATAAACAAAGTTCTTGAACGATTCCGGATGAAGAACTGTTCAACCAACGTGACTCCTTTAGAGAAAGGAGACAAATTCAGTCTAGATCAGTGTCCTAAAACCGAGCTCAAGAAAAAGCAAATGGAAAGGATCCCATATGCCTCAGCAGTAGGAAGTTTAATGTATGCACAGGTTTGCACTAGACCTGATATAGCCTTTGCTGTGGGCATGCTGGGAAGGTACCAAAGTAATCCTGGTGAGGCGCATT